GTGTCAAAGAAATCGTGGCCATCTTTAACCTACCAAGCTGTTTTTCTATTTTAGGGAGCAAAGTGAGCCCAAACTTCAATTGTTTGCTAACTTTAAAATGAAAGAGAGGAGGGAAACTCAAGACTTAATGACTTGGGGAAATGGTTTAGAATATAAGACACGTTATTGCAATCAACCCTGCTATGCTCTGATGTGTCCTTCCTACTAAGCCTCCACTCTCCTGCATGTACTCAAGAGCTCCAAGGGCGAAACAGTGAAGGCAGAGATTCCTGCCAACTCTTTGCCAGTCATTCCAGGAAGTTGGGTGTCTGGGGCTGTACTTCATATTTTTGTTTGTTTTCTCTCTCTCCTTTAGCAACTGAAGCCTACACGTTCTATAGTTCCAAGAGGGCTGACACTTCATTCTCTTTCTTCTCTTTTTTATCCTATAACCTGTTAATCATAGAACCTGTTATTTAAATACTCAAGTGTTACACGTAGCTTGAATGAAATGAGTGAATGAACTGCAACTCCATCCTTCAGTTGAGGCTGTAAAATCAGTCTTGGAATTGATTTATTAAAAACAAACATATGAAAAAAGGTTTAAAGTAAACTTGAAATAATAAAGAGAATAATTTAAAAATATAAAGCTAAACACTTTATATAATTATCTCTATGTACAGGTGAGCATGATATGCTAGCAAAAATACTGAAATACAATAAATACAGTAAAATAGATGGTTACATTAAAGAGGCCATTTACAATGGGCTAGTGCCTCCTGTAAACTGGATGCTTTAACTTAGAGTGGCTTAATGCTACTGAAACTGGCAGTTAACAATAAACAGGTTTAGGTATTAGATCATAGAGTCTAGAGATATAGGTATAGGCTTTAACTAAATGTTTCAATTGCTTTGGTTGTCACACAGCTTATAGTCAGAGATTATAGACATGTTATGAAGGCCTGCCTGTAAAGAAAGTTTTAGGAGAAATTTTTAAAAGTATCCTTTACTTGAGATAATAGAAAATACAGCTGTTTAAGAACAAAACAATTATGCCTTAAACAATGGCAATGATCACAAGATGTCTAGTTTCTGCTTTTTGCTTTAAAGATGTCACTGATGCACAATTATATTTTTGCAGAATCTTAGTTCTTCAACCCAGCACTCCTTGTTCTCATAATATAATTTTAAGTTGCTGATGTACTGTTTTTGTTAAGTAGGAGGAGGTAACTCCAGGGTCACAAGGAGAATTTATGAGTTTGTCTTACAAAAGGAATAAAAGTTGCGACCAGATGCTGACGCCCAGAAGTCTGGTTGCACAAAATGTTATCTGTAGCTGAAGAAATATAGACTTTCTCCCTCAGTTCCTTGAAACTCCCCCTCTCTACTCTCTAGTCCCAGAAAAACTCCCTGCTTTTGCTTTTTGAGGAAGATGGATTTGAGAGATCTTACTTTTGTGTCCCTTTGGCCAAACTGAATAAACTTTCTGTCTCCACGTGCCAGCATCTCAGTGTTGGGCTTATTAGTACATTGGGCACACGAACCTGAATTTTGGGAGGTGGTTCAGTAACACTACCAATAAGTGTTGTGACATATCTGGTTCAATTTGTTTCATGACGAAAGCAGAAAAAAATAGTCTTTCGAAATGACTAAACATGTGGGGATATGATGAATTGTATCTGTCCATAACTACTGTTTCATTAAGAGCATAGGTCTGGTTCCTTAGCTCTTAATCATTCTGCAAACTTGATAATAAAGAGAAAGATAAAGATTTCTTCCTCTCACAACTTCCCAGGTATAGCAGCTCTGCTTTATCCTTTCCACGGAGAGACTGATTCCTTGGAAGAACCTCTTCAAGATCAGTATGGAATCTTCATAGCTCAGGAGAGTCCTTCCATCCCCAACTCAGACACCAAGTAGGTCTCCAGGACTTCTCAATGCTGATAAAATCCTGTGAAGAATTTCTCCAGGCCAATATCATTCCAATCTACCCCTTATGCTGAGCAGATCGAAGATCTGCTGAAGCATCTAGTGGAGGACAGCAGTGGTCTGAGCCTTCTAGACCTTGCTGCCATCCACCAGAAGCAGCAGAAAACAATTGGAACCAGATAAATGTCCACGAGTAGGGGATTAGTTAAATAATTTATGGCACACCCATTCACTGGGAAACAACAGAACTGTTTAAAAAGATAAATAAGTTCTCTAAGATTTCCCAAGTGAAAAAGACAGGTGCAGAACAGTGAGTATGGTGTGCTTTTTATAAAAATAGGGAGTGTAAAAAGCATATAGTTATATTCTGATTAGTTTGCATATGCATTAAGAAACCAGAATAATTTAAAAAATAGCAATAACTTCAAACTGGAAAACACGGGAAGCATTATGTCAAAGTATACATTTATTCATATGCCAAGTTTAAATTTACTAGCAATTAAAGAAATGCAAGTTAATAAAATACCTATAAAGGGAAAGGTCAACAGAGGAGAAAGGCGCACACATTTCTGGTGACACGTTTTAGAAAGAAATTTTTATATCTTGAATTAGTATTTGCACTTAGAATTTATCCAAAAACAGAGGAAAGCTTTGTGCCCAGATTCTCTATAAGTTTATTACAGTCTATAAAACAATGGAGGACAAGAAGGTGTATATTCAGAACAAAAAATGGGCAAAGGAAAACGAGTTTGCATGTTATTGGACAATTGTAGCCATTTAAAAAGCTGAAAACAAAAGCATGAAAAAGTTTCTGACGCTGGAATTCCACTGCGAGGCAAAAAAATATAGGCTATATTATATACACAGCATGGTCACAACTTGGTAAAGAAAAAAACGACGTGTTCTTAAATGATTAAAAATTTGAAAATATGAACCAGTTATAATTGAGGTGTCCATTAAATGCTGCGGGATACAAAGTGTTTTATAGAAGGAAAAATTTAAGCATCTTCCCTCTATGCCCTCTGTTTTTTTTTCAATTTATACAAAAGCCATATTCATTGTTATTCAAAAAGCAGAAGCCAGGAAACGTAAACCTTAAAGAAAAAGTATGCATTTGCGGCAAGATTGCTCAGACGCTACGAAGAGTCAACACCAAACGTGCAGCATAACAGACATGCACCCATTCCGTCCTATTTAGTCCCACACACAATGTGACCCAACTATGTCCCCCTCGCGCCCACCCTGTGCAGCTCCGCTCCCCCAACCCCACCCATCCCGTCTCCCGCACACGCCCTCCCCGCACCCCACACGCCCGCCCACTCACTGACGAGGCCGGAGGCCGCGCAGCCGCAGTCCCTGCTGCGGCCGCTCCTAGCCCGGGGGATCCTGGGACTAGGCCTTTCCGGAAGGACCGGCTGGGCGTCCGCGGCTAGGCCGTGTTCCAGGCCCGTGTTCCAGACCCTTGCTCCAAGACTGGCGGGTAGCCGCGGCGACGCTCCGGTGACAGCGGAGGGCGCAACGGGCCGCTCGCCGAGGTTCCCGGCCTCGCCGCCGAGCGAGCCGCGGAGCCGCAGTACGTGGCGGTGCCTGCCGCTTGGCCCGGAGCGGAACTGCTGGAGGAGCGGCAGCGCAGGCCGGACAAGGTGAACCGGGTCGCTTAACTGCCTTTAGATGATGAATCATCTGCATAACAACAGTCAGAGTTGAGGACCACAGCCCTTTGTGGTCCAGCTGCAGAACAGTTTTAAGTGGATGCCTGACTGGTGTATTCTGAGGGGTGCCACGGTGACTGCTTGCCCTTGAGAAGGAAGCGAGCCCTCTTGCTCTTTGGTTGTCCCCGGTTCCTTGAAAGCATTCCGGTTTTAACCTCTTTCTCCGGCATCTTTGTGCAAGAGGCTTTCCCATGAAAGTGTCTCTTGGTAACGGCGAAATGGGCGTCTCCTCCCATTTACAGCCTTGCAAGGCAGGAACCACACGATTTTTTACCAGCAATACCCACAGTTCGGTGGTACTGCAAGGCTTCGATCAGCTTAGAATAGAAGGATTGCTTTGTGATGTGACTCTCGTACCGGGTGATGGAGATGAAATCTTCCCCGTTCACAGAGCTATGATGGCGTCTGCTAGTGATTATTTCAAGGCTATGTTCACAGGCGGAATGAAAGAACAAGATCTAATGTGCATTAAACTTCATGGGGTGAACAAAGTTGGTCTGAAGAAAATAATTGATTTTATTTATACTGCAAAACTTTCTCTTAATATGGATAATCTTCAGGACACACTCGAAGCTGCTAGCTTTTTACAAATTTTACCTGTTTTGGACTTCTGTAAAGTGTTTCTTATTTCAGGAGTCTCTTTAGATAACTGTGTTGAAGTTGGGCGAATAGCTAACACCTATAATCTTATAGAAGTGGATAAATACGTCAATAATTTTATCCTGAAGAATTTTCCTGCATTACTGAATACTGGAGAGTTTCTAAAACTCCCTTTTGAACGGCTTGCCTTTGTGCTTTCCAGTAATAGTCTTAAGCACTGTACTGAACTTGAGCTCTTCAAGGCTGCCTGTCGCTGGCTAAGGTTAGAAGACCCTCGGATGGATTATGCTGCAAAATTAATGAAGAATATTCGTTTTCCACTGATGACACCACAGGACCTCATTAATTACGTGCAGACGGTAGATTTCATGAGAACAGACAATACCTGTGTGAATTTGCTTTTGGAAGCTAGCAATTACCAAATGATGCCATACATGCAGCCGGTGATGCAGTCAGATAGAACTGCCATTCGATCGGACTCAACACATTTGGTTACATTAGGAGGAGTTTTGAGGCAGCAGCTGGTTGTCAGTAAAGAATTAAGGATGTATGATGAAAGGGCACAAGAGTGGAGATCTTTAGCCCCCATGGATGCTCCGCGGTACCAGCATGGCATTGCTGTCATTGGAAACTTTCTTTATGTGGTTGGTGGTCAAAGTAATTATGACACGAAAGGAAAAACTGCTGTCGATACAGTTTTCAGATTTGATCCTCGGTATAATAAATGGATGCAGGTTGCATCATTAAATGAGAAGCGTACTTTCTTCCACTTGAGTGCCCTCAAAGGACATTTGTATGCTGTTGGTGGGCGAAGTGCAGCTGGTGAACTGGCCACAGTAGAATGTTACAATCCAAGAATGAATGAGTGGAGCTATGTTGCAAAAATGAGCGAACCCCACTATGGCCATGCTGGAACAGTGTATGGAGGCTTAATGTATATTTCAGGAGGAATTACACACGATACTTTCCAAAATGAGCTCATGTGTTTTGACCCAGATACAGACAAATGGACGCAGAAGGCTCCAATGACTACAGTCAGAGGTTTGCATTGCATGTGTACAGTTGGAGACAAGCTCTATGTCATTGGTGGCAATCACTTCAGAGGAACAAGTGATTATGATGATGTTCTAAGCTGTGAATACTATTCACCAACCCTTGACCAGTGGACACCAATTGCTGCTATGTTAAGAGGTCAGAGTGATGTTGGAGTTGCTGTCTTTGAAAATAAAATCTATGTTGTAGGTGGATATTCTTGGAATAATCGTTGTATGGTAGAAATTGTCCAGAAATATGACCCAGAAAAGGATGAGTGGCATAAAGTTTTTGACCTTCCAGAGTCACTTGGTGGCATTCGAGCTTGTACTCTCACAGTTTTTCCACCTGAAGAAAACCCTGGGTCACCTTCTAGAGAATCACCTCTTTCAGCACCTTCAGATCATTCTTAGGACTAAGATGTTATATCTTTACAGTGCATCGTGGTGATCTTATATTTTCCCTCAGTTGTATCTTTTTCCAAGGATTGTTAAAGGTATTAGATAAAAAGGTAACTGATGTTATTCGTACTGTTTGACTTAGTGTGTTTACCAAACGATTAAATGCCTTCTGAAAATGTATTCAACATAGCCAGCTGTTTTAACAAATGTAAAAAGATCTTAAAAAAATGTTAGATGTCTTTTTGTGGTGGTGTGTAAGTCAAAGTGTAGGTGACTGTAGTAAATATAATTATGTTCATTATGCTTCAAAGTTGAAAGTTTTCATCTTTTCAGAACATCAAAGGGAGGCTGCCAGCTCTAACCTAAAATAAAATTGCCAAGTATTATTAGCTACCTCCCTTTTTTCAGAGTTTTTGATATAGCTGCCAGCTTACCAGATTGTGTGGGTTTATTCAGAATATGTAAAGTTACTCAAGCAGACAGCAGAAATAATAAATTAAAACATATTAACTCAAAAAAATAGTATAGCCCTAAATCAGAGTTTGTATCTCTGGAGAGAAGGAAAAGAAGAGAGAACACACACACACACGTACATATACACATATGTATATACACACATACACATAATTTTTAAATTGATCGGCACTTCAGATAAAGTGAAATTGTTTCTAAATTTAAATTCTCTCTTCCTACCTAGCAGCTATTTCTATTCAAATGGCAATTAAGTACCAGAGAATAAAGGTCTGTATAGTCATAGTGAACTGAGATAGATAAGCACTACATTAAATCGACAACCGAGTTTTTCATTTGACTAAATTGTTACTTCAGATGAAACGTATTACTTTTTCTGCTTATATATTATTTTCTGTAGAGTTACTTTTTTACATATTTAGCAAAGTTCAGGTTTCAGAGAATTGCTTTTGCTCAGTAAACTTAGGCTCTGCTACTTTTACTTTGTGTATAGCAAAACATAAAAGCAAAAAAAGAAATAGGCTGAACAAAGCTATAGAATTTTAAGTTCAGTCTCCCAGTTTAGTTATCTTAACAAGATTGTTTGATTCAGAGTGCTTGCCCTGGTGCTTCTCCAGCCCATGTGCATCCTGAGCTTTGTGTGATCTGCCTCAATGCTATGATATGAGCAAGCAGGAGATGTGCTGTGTTCTGCATGGAATCAGAAAAATGTCCTTTTGGCCATGTCTAAAGGACAGGACCAACTTCAGATTCCCTAAAGGGCCAACTACAGAATTCCCTAAAGGGGCAACTACACTGCTATCTTGCAGGCAGTACTAAAGTAGTTCTTCAGCCTCTTCAGTACCAAGGGCATCCTTGCTGGTTGAGAACCACATTGGGAGATCTTAATGGGACCTTATCAGCAAACAATCATAGGAATCCTCTGTACTGAGTGATTCTTAAGAAATAGTTTCCTGGAATGTCTACCTGAAGGAAAAATTTACATACATATATTTACATATATATGTATATATTCCTATACTTGGGAGATTGTCATAGTGTATTAGGAACAGCCTTTTCTTTGTTGACAGTCCCATAATAAAACTCAGGAACCAAGACAAAAGGTATTGGCTTCCAGGAATGTGAACTGTACTGCCCATACAAGTGTTGATTCATTCTAATGCTTTTTATGACTTCTGCATTGGCAGAAATTTTCATACTTTCTATGTTTTTTTAAAATGACTCAGTTTTATTTTGTTATTAATAGAAATAACACATTTGAGTACATTTAGAAATTAGACAAAGTAGAAATTGCTGTTAACCTTGTGCATTGACTAAGCAAGAAATGGCATCCCCATAATTTACTTGATTATTAATGAGGTTAAATATTTGTGTTTTTTGGGTAGCAGTGTTTCCTCTTTGATCAGATGTTCATGTCCTTAACCTTTTGGCATTGCTTTGTTTTTCATATCAAGTTTTAGGATCTCTTTATATAATAAATATAATTTAACTGGCATTTGCTTGTATTGATATTTGTTCTCAGTCTATTACAGTTTTACAAAGACAGGCCATTCAGTTAATTTTTGAGATCAAATTTGTCCATATTTTTTGCATTTTGACCTTTTGGGGTAATTTTGCTTTCTTTTTAAGATAATATTGACGTCACAGTCTTTGTCCTTTATGTATCACTTTGTCAGTGCTAATTAACATGCTAAGGTCGAAATTACTGCTTGTCTCCTGTTAAATAGCTTTTCTTCCTGATTGAAATGGAGATGAATTTTCTTATAAATTTATAAAAATTCCTCTTATATTAAGAATATTAATTCTTAAATACGAATAGTAATCTTTGTTTACAGCAAATATTTTCCCCTCTTTTTTCTCTAAGTATATGTCTTAACATACTTGGTTTTCTTGTAATGTAGTGAAGTTAGTTTTTCCTTTGCTATTTTTTAATGCTTTCTTGCTTAATTTTTTCCCATCACAAGATGGTGTAATTATCCCAGTATTCTGTTTTTGTTATGGATATAACTTTTTACCAGACTTATGGTATAAAATTTAATGTATGTTTTCAAATTATGCAATTGTTCCATCACCACTTTTTGAATAATCTTCACTTTCTCACTTAATTTTTAAGCTTTTAAAAATTATAATAAAATTTCATATGTAATATAGGCAATTTAGGGTATTTTTCTTCAGTTCCAATGGTCTTTTATTCAAGGTGTCTTGGTTATATAGATTGCTGTTTTAAATGGTATTTTGTTTTCACATTATATTCCAAACTTTATCACAGTAATAGGAAATACATAGTTTTAGCATGTGGATTTTCTTTTATCACTCATTCTTACAATTTTTTGGATGAAACTTTACTCTCATAGATTCTTAACAGTTTTTTGGAGTAGATTCTTTTGTATTTTTACCTTAAAGAATCATATTACCTGCATAGTATAAAAACCTTGTTTCTTATTATTTCTTAAAGCATTGGTTAATACTTGAGCAAAATTACAGTGACACAGACATTATATCTAATAGGTATTTTTTATAAGGATAATTCTAGTATTAGATTCCTTTGTTAAAGAGATATTCTCGATCCTAAATATTTGCTTATTCCTCATTAACTGGGTGTCTTAAAGTGAGGGATTCATATTTTCATCACAAATACTTAAAGTTTATTGAGGTGGCAGTTTAATTTTTCTCTTTTCAGATACTTAGAAGAGTTTTTTAGTTTTCCCCAATTGCTGGGTTAGTAAATACTCATATTGCTGAGTACATTATTAGTCTGTATAGTTTAGAAAGCAATTTGGCAAGAACAGTAAAAGATTATCTTCCAAATTTCATACATTTTGGGCATTCAGTGTATTTCTAGAGTTAATAATAAAAAAAAAAGTAAGCCAGAAAATGGTCATCTCAGCATGATATTTGTTTCCTAATGTGATCCCATCAGACGTTCCATAAATTTACTTCAAAAACTGAATTGTTTTGAATTCTTCCCACTCTGATTTTTGATACATTGTCTGTATCTCTACTATCTGTTGTTAAGTGTATATTTGAATGGCTGAATGATGGTTAAAACAAAAAGACTTAGATAGTAATTAAAGATGACTGCCCACTGCAAAACTGTTGAAGTTGACTTCCTTAACCCAATGCGTTAATGATAGTTTCTCTGTTTTCTTGGGAACAGTCTCTGAGCAACCACTTTCTAAGAAGCTAATATTATTCTGCCATCTATTGGTTGAAATTAAAAGTCTTTTAGACAAATTCCAGATAATGAAACCCTTTTAAACAAAACAGTAAACCCAGCAGAAATTGTTAAAGCATATATGAAAGTTCAAAATCTTTAGATCATACTCAAGTTACATAAATATGAAAAAAACCTATGCTAACTTTTGGTGTACATAGTGGTTCAGGTAATCAAAGAACATTTTTCGGTAACAAAAATACAGATTAAAATTGCTTTGCCCTTTATTTTATTGATAAATTAATATAATTTGAATATTATCAAAAATCTGCAACATTTCATCCAGATTTTAAGTATTTATATCTACTATATGGTATTTTTTTTGAAGTGGATTCCCCATTACTGTTTTTGTTTTTTAGCAGAGAGCCTCATCATAAAGATAGAGTAAATCTTTTCAATGACAGAATGTAATATGCAATATATCCAGATATAAGTAAATCTGACAAACTTATAATGTTCTAAGAGCTTTTTATGTTGGTTTCCCCATGTAGATGCTAGGATCAGGTCACTACTATAACCACATAGCTCTCATCTAGCCCAGACAGCAATACACATAAGCACACGTGTGATACGCAGTGACTTCTGGACCAGCTGTTCTAAATTCTTTTTCGTACTGTCCATGGGCTCAAAGAAAGCCTGTTTCTTGGCATGAGAACTGTAAGAGTGGCATAATTACCCATTTCCTCATTCTCCAAAACACTCTCAGAGCAAAATATTCTCACATTAAGCATTCTTTCCTTCAGAATGGAATATAACTGAAAACAGGTGACCTCTTAATAGCGCCTCCTGAAGGATATCTAGAGTGCACATAGCCCCACACTTCTAGATAGAACTGAAGGAACAATGTTATATTTCATGCAGTCTTAGAACAAGATGAGTATAAAGCTGATGATAGCAGCCAAGGTCTGGGACCTGAGCTCAGAGGTGTCATCATGTACAGCCCCTTCTCCAATTGTAAGTCTAGAGAGTATTCTGTCTCTACTGGTCCATATTCCAGAAAACTGTTACTATAGAGACAGAGGTTTATCATTCTTTGCTTCATTTAACCCAAGAGCCAGTCAGCAGAGTCTGCGTACATGTGGATGGGCAGCAGGTCTAATTTCGACTGAGTCAAACCACTTTATCTTGTTTGGGAAGTGTAGTTTATCACTTAGAAGTCAAAGCATTCTTCCAGAAATGAAGTCATAATCCATAAAAACTCTAATTCATGATAAATCATGAACCAAAACATAATGTAAAATCCTAATTTAATTTAGTCATAATAACATTTATTTAATCATACTAGGCAGAACGTCCACTTCGACTTTTTAAAAATTAATCTCCATCCTTCTCCAGATGAGAAAATCACAAACAGATTTCACAAAAACTTCCGTAAATCACATTTATACAGATACATTTGAAGGCATTAAATAGGCTCAAAG